GAATAGAATAGAATAGAATAGAATAGAATAGAATAGAATAGAATAGAGAATAGAATTCAATTCTTTATTGGCCAAGTGTGATTGAACACACAAGACCTGGGCAAAAGTAACTAATGGGCAGATATAATAAAAACTCAACAAGGTGGGGATGATCTGATCGTTGTGGCCACTATCTTGATTTGATTAATTCCAAGTTTCCAAATCCCCGCCCCCCCATGGATATTGCTGGTCTTGGGTACTTTGAACAGGGTTATGTAAAACTAACAAAATCTTTCTTATAGTTCAAAGCTGAAGGATCCATGGAGAACTCCTTCACCATCTTGTGGTGAAAGGTTGAACTTCATTTGCAACATCTTAAAATCACTTTGTTTGTGTTCGCAGTAGTAATAGCAATAACACTTAGAGTTATATACCGCTTCACAGGGCTTTACACCACTTTCCTAAGTGGTTACAAGAGAACCTTAGCAAACATCAGTCATGTTCCTCTTCCAATTCATAAATGATTCCATGGGACAGAAGCTTATTAAACGCCTGAGTAACTTTGCCATCCTTCACGTTGCTTTTAGCTTGCACACAAATAGAAAAACACCTATGTAAATTTGGCTATCAAGGTTCCGACTGATGAACCCAAGCAAATCAGGACTCTGAAACTCCCATCTTCTTCAAAGCACTAATTTATTCATTACATCCATTTGGCATAGATGAGCATAAAAACAGCTCTGGCTAACTCCCATTCTTTTGCATTGTTAAAAGTTAAGCATCCCCCATCCCTCCTATGTCACAGGTCATGTGAAGAGAGATTTAACCTGGAAATAAGGAGAAACTTTCTGACAGCGAGAACAATCAACCAATGGAACAGTTTTGCCTTCAGAAGCTGTGGGATCTTCATTACTGGAAGCTTTCAAGAAGAGATTGGACTGCCATTTGTCAGAAATAGTGTAGGGTCTCCTGCTTGGGCAGGGGGCTTGGACTAGATGACCTACAAGGCCTACAAGGTCCCTTCCAACTCTGATTATCTGCTATCTGTTAATGTTGTCTAGTTGGGTGCTCTGTCATTTCCTTGACAACTGGGTTCAGTCTCTGGGCATCGGCCATTGGGATGACCTTGGTTCCCAGGAGATAGTACCTTGTTTTGACAAGACCACATTCCAAGCCCCTCCCTTTCCCCCCCTCCCGCCTGCCTGAGCTGTGTGGCAACTTCGGAAACATAAAGATGGCTGCAATAGGCTTGATCCATTTCAAAGTTGACATAAGCCTTTGAATTCCTCAGGAAACAAGTTAGAATCATGTTGCTAACAAATTATATGATGTACTTATGTAAAACCTCCATATATATTTTTTTATCCTCAAAGATAAAATGCCAAAGAGAAAAATTTAAAAAATAGATTAACACACATCCAACACTAATAACAAAAAAAAAGAAAGAAAAAGAAAAAAAGAAAAAGAGAGAAGAATCTTGTGTACAAAAAAGAAAGAAAAAGAAAGAAAGAAAAAAACTCCAAATGCCAACTAAATCTAATATTCACCCAGGTTGGATTTTTTTATGTTTAATGCTAGAAATATTCCTTTATTATTATTATTATTATTATTATTATTATTATTATTATTATTATT